TTTGGCTTCAGAAACAAGAAGGACACTGGGGAGCAGGGAGGCAAGAGCAGCAGCATCTAGGAGAAGCAGGGAAAGCAGTGTATCATCCATTCAACCAGGTTCAGGGAAGGACCGAGGGCTGAGCAGGAACTTTTCATACCAGGGAGGCAACTGTTGAGGGCCATCCCTTTCCTCCCCATCCATTTGCTCTGGCAGGACCTAGAGGGCGCACAAACACAAAACCAACCCCCCAACCCCAACTTAGTGACGTGGAATCCATTCTGACTCATAGCTTCCCTGTAGGATGGAGTAGAACTGCCCTGTGGGTTTCTGAGACCATAAATCGTTATGGGAGCAGGGCGCCTTATCTTTCTCCCTTGGAGCAGCTAGTGGTTTCACACTGCTGACCTTGTGGTTAGAAGCCCAATTGGAACCCACTGCATTACCAGGGGTCTTCTGGAGGATTGTGGGAAGGGTCAAATCTTCAAAAGGAGCCTTCGACCATCTCTAGTGTGTGTCATGAAAGGAATCAACTGCCTTTGTTCTGGTTCTCTGCCCCAGGAAATCTTTCTGCCTTTCTTTTTCTCCCCCTTTCCTTTATTCTTGGCAGCCTTACAGTCTGGCACCTGTTCTGTTAGGGATTTCCAAGCTCCAGGCCTCTGTCATCAGAGACCTTTTGTTCATTTCTTCAACAGGAAGATTTGGGAATGTTTTGTTCCTTTAAGGGTCCTATTGGTGTTTATCTCGATACTATTATATTGTCTTCCACCAAATGCTTTGACTTGAATTATGTCCTCTCAATCCTAATATTTATGTCTGTGATTATAATCCCGTTTAATCTCAATGAGTCAAGATTAGTGTAAGATATGTTTCAAACTAATTCTTGAGCTATAAAAGTGCCTTTAAAAACAAGCTAGAGAATCATAGATGGGTGAAGAGTTATGCCAAGTTACACAAAGATCATCCTGGAGTACAAGTTTGATGAAAAGGGACCTGTTGTCAGCACCAACAGAGCGAGAAAGATTTCCCCTTAAAGCTTTCCCCTGAACTTGTATTTGTAGCCTCCTGAACCGTGAGGGAAGAAATGTTTGTTGAAGTCGCGACTAGTGGTATTATAGCAGTACTGGATCACTCAGTAAGTAACAGCAAGCCTAGCTGCCAGGGGCTTGAACTTGGAATGGAGGCTTCAGAAAAAGTGGCAATACCCCCTGCTTGTGTTCTGTCTCAATCTATACTTTCGCTCCCATACGGTGTCACACTATCTTCTTAAAAAGATACGTAGGTTAGATGGTTCTAGCACTTTTACAGTAATTACAACCCAGATTATTTCCCTCCTCCTGACTCATGACCTTTACGGTTTGGCTTCAAGGTCATGCGATGGTTGACGTCCCACCCCTTGGTCACAAGATGCCTGCCACAGGTTCAGACTTCTCATTCTCCTGCCAACATCCTAAGCAAGAAGGGTCTTGGACAAAAAGCTTTATATTTTGAGCCTGTGTTTTCTCTTCAGGAAACAAAAAACCTTTTTTCAGATGCCCCAAGCATCGTTTTCCTTTTGCCCTCCTGATCTGATTTGAATCACTTGTTCCTTCAACTGCATCCTGGGCAAAGGTGGCTAAGAAAGTACATACTTGGCCCAAAGCAGCAAGGTTCCTCATAATTCACTTAAACAATACCTTAGATCCTTCGGAGCTGGTTACACTGCACTCCTGAACGCAATCAGCATTATGTTCAGACAGAGAAAGGAGAGATTGGCCATTGAAAGAGCAACTGACTATGCCAGCCAGCACTAAAAATCGTGCCTTCTGCTTCCACTATTGTTAAACTCTTTGCCAACTTACCCTTTGGCTTTGATTTTCCAGAATGATCTTTTGATAAACAGTTAATTCTACTACACACAGATGGAGAGTGGGAGCTAGGGATTCCGTGTAGAACAGTGTCTGTCAATGACCAGGACACGGGGGAGGTAAAGGAAACAGGAGAGAGAACTGCCATGGACTCAGAGTTGGATTTGGTAAATAGATGAACTCATTTTCCCATTCAATAAAAATCAGTAGCTTCCCCCTGTGGCGGCATTGCTTTAAATCCTGGGAGTCGGTGGGTATACAAATTAGACAGTGCCTCATCTTTCTTGGAACACATTCCATTGGGAGAGATTGCACTGGCTAACAAAGATTTTGGTGCTTCAGCTGTTAATCTTACTTCTGGGGATATTTGACCCGCTGTTCCAAAAGCAACACCAGTTTCCCCTAATATCTCTGATTTTTGAGATATGGAATGTATGCCATATACTTCACTCTGCTTGCTCAGGAAAAATCAATATATTTTAATGAAGTGCTAGCTAGCCTAAGATTGAGGAAGTACGCCCTGGCTTTCTTTAAAGTTTGTTTTGTACTAACTATGGAAGCCAGGTTAGACTTCATACTGTGTCCTTTGATCCTAAGATATATTTTACCAGTGCAAATTACATGAATTTAGAATTTTCTCCAAGTACTACTTCACCTTTTAGGAAGTGGCGAGCAATTAGTTCCAATTTGTTATCTTAAAAGGGGGCCAGAAATAAGAGTTACTGTATAATAAATAAGGATCCCTGATGGCGTAGGGGTTATGTGTTTGACTGTTAACCACATATTTGAAGCCCTTCACTGCCCTGCAAGAGAAAGACAAGACTTTCTGCTCCTCTAAATATGTAGACCCTCAAAAACCCACAGAAGAAGTCCCACTCTGTCCTATAGGATTGCTATGAGTCATAATTAACTAAGTGATTTTGGCACAATACATCTGCGCTGCAAATGTAATGTTCTGAAGCCTCAAATGGATCTGTCAGAACTCAGACTCCTTTATTGGAATTAAAATGTTCCAGTCTTATTAAAAGATGGGACACTTTCTCCACCTGTGCCTTTTAAAAATTAGAATTTTTCTTATAAAGAAAAGGTTGGAGTTAATCTTACTTTTGAAAGATTTAACATGAGTTACCCTTTGACTTTTCCGTATTAAAATGCATTCTAAAATATTTCCTGCATGAGTTGAAGGAGAAAACATTTAAATTTTCAAGCTATTTCTCCAAATTGCTATGAAGTCTTCCATTTTGACATTCTAAATTGCCCTCACATCATCCATACGTGTGCCTTTTCAATTTTCTTTTTTATTTTCCACATTTCCCAACCTGTTTTGCAGTCTCCACCTCATAGTCTTTGTATATAGGGCACCATCTCCCAAACCACAGAGAAGAACCCCTGCCATCTCATCGATTCTAATGTGCACTGACTCCACAGGACTGAGAATAGCGGCCCCTTTGGGTTTCCAAACCTTTAAATCTTTTCATTCAAGGCCGTAGACTGACCTTCTAATGAGCATGTCAGGGGTCACCAACGAACCACCTGCGTCCATAGAAGTTGGAAGTTTCTTAATTCCCAATTCCCTTATCAAACACTTCTTACCTTTTGTTGGTTTATCCTGTTATATGTGGGTCTGACTTATTATCATATTTAAAACGACAGTACAAAATTAATAGTATAATTTAATAGCTGAAAACATAGTGGAATGCTATGTATAAGAAACCAGAGCAGATGTGATCTATCCAATGCAATTTTCTGAATCAGAGGCCCAAATAACCCCAGGAGCCACAGATCTAAAAATCAAAGCACCAAGAAAATTTTTGGGGGGCTATGGAGTTCATACATAAATTGATAATTGTCCATACCAGGGGGTTTCAAAAGTTCATGGACACATTGAATTAAAAAACAATGGAACTAAACAAACCAACAAACAAAAAGCCAACGGAACTCTTACAAGACCTTATTGAATCATTTTTGTGTATATAAGTATGTTTTATAGATAGGGGTGAAAAACTTATTTTAAAAACAAAAACAGAGCAGGAGAATAGAGTGTTTGGGGGATGACTTGCCTGAAAAATCTTGAGTAATAATCTACTATGTGAGGAACCATGGAGCTGTTTGGGGGATATGGAGGATGGGGGCCCTCTGGAGGTAGGGTAGCTATGACTTTGTGGACCACTAACGACGTAGGTGTGGGCAGCATAAAGGGACAGAGATAGAAATGAACTCAGAAATATAGCCAGTGACCAGACGATGCAAGGTTTCGTCAGTCAGGATAAATACTTGCTAATAGCTAATGTTATTTAGACATCCGAATGACATGATCTTATTTATATGTGAAAAGGCTCCTTCTATTGACTCTACAAGTATAATGATAACAACTTTGATAAGTAATTAGTAAACACAAGCAAGATATTTTGGCAATGCATTTCTTCAATAAGAAAGATTCCTCCCTGTCCCCCAAAGTAGATTTTATTCTCAAAGATGATAACACTAGAATGAGATTGGACTCCGAACCAATTCTACTACCAGTGAGTCTTTACATAACTGTACATGTTAAAGTGTCATCACCTTCGAATCAAGTGAATGAAGAGGAAAAGAGTTTCTTGGAGGAATGTCATTCAAGTTCTTTGATTTACTTTTGCCGCATAACATTTCCAAAGCAGTAACCTGCCCAGAAGTAGATTGACACATCTTTCTCTTGGGGCGTCGTTGCCGAGTTAGAGCCACCCATCTTTTGCTTGGCAGCTCAGTGCTTCCATCACTGTGTCTAATTTGGAGCCCATTATTCTAGTTGCTAATTTCATAAAGACATGCATATTCTCTGTCTCTCTAGTGCAAGCAATCTGCCTGGCATGGACCTATTAACCTTTGTTACATGAGGGAAGGGAATCTAGAAAATGAACCACCTTTCCCCCATTCTCCCCATTTCCTTCCTAACATGCCCTCCACTCTCCACCATCCCATACACCATGCTAAGGTGGAATAATTGGGATTCTAGCAACAATATTTGATTCGAGGATTCCAGGGACAACACCACCAAAGGCACAAATAAACACACAGATATGTGAGCACTGTCTTTATTACAAAGAGAATTGTAACAGGGGAAGTAACTGGGGTTAAGATTTCCAGGTTGGGGTGATGGTTTTCTGTCATATAATTGGATTCTTCACTTTCTTTCTCTCAGGCCATGTGACAACAGCGGGCTGCGGTCCAATCCATCCCGCTGCACTGGCAATGGCACGTGGTTTCCCTTTGCACATCCCAGGAGCCACAGCCGTACCCACAGGCACAGCCGGTGACAACGGTCCCTGTATGAGTACGGAACACATGCCATCCGAACGCTTAGGTTTTCAGAAGAGGGAGATCCTGCTATACCCATCTGTCATCCTTTACAGGCCAACAGTAAACCTAGGTTTTGTGGGGGCCCAAAGCACATTCTGTTTTAAGGGCCCTCTTTAAGGGGGGAAAATGCACGTACATAAACACATTTTGCTAAAGTGACATGGAAGAGACCCATGCAAATCAGTGGCCTGAGATTTTCCATATTTCAGTTTTATGTTAAATCCATCTCTAGGTTGGCTTCTAGCCACCAAACCAGGAAGAAGGAGCTGAAGGATGAGAGGTAGTAAGAGGTGATATTTCAGGGAAACTTAGGTGGCTGGGGTGGGGAGGGGACTGGCAGTTGGGGACGTGAGAGAAGGGAGGAAAAAGAGGAGGCAGGAACACAAAAGCCTTCAGAAGCATCGTTAAGGGAGGTGAGGCTGGGTAAGTGACCTCTGAGAACCGAGCTGGTGACTCAGCTCTGGGCTGAGCTGGGCAGTGGTGTATGTGCTGGGTAAGCGGGGAGTCTAGGGGGCATCTGAGAGGCATTCGTCCTCATGGACTTACTTACCTGGAGGGCAGACAGCCAGTTTGCCTCGACTCTTGACACTGACACACACAAGCTTCCGTGTTGGGGGCGGAGGCCGGGGTTTATTTTCTAAGAAGAAAAGAGAAACAGTTATGGGCTATAATCCATCCCATCCATAAATCCCTTCCAAATCCTCTTCCACCACAGGGGGATCATCATATCTCCAGTCAGGATACTCTCTAGCTGTGTGATTGGAGCCAATTTTAAACATATTAAGTTCAGGTTTCCCATTTCCCAGATTAAAGTAAGAATGATACTTACTCCATAAAGTGGTCACAAGAATTAAATGAGCTAATCATTATAAAGATTGCATTATAGCTGATTCATAGTGAATGCGCATAAATTATAGTTATTGCCGTCACCACCACCATCATCAGTGGCATCAGCCTTATGGAAGCCTGAGCTTTTAGGCAGGAGTCCAAAAGGAGGTGGGGCGATGGAGAAAGGCCTGGGTAATATGATTGGGCTAAGGGGACTGATTCGAGTTTGGAACCATGAGGTGGGTTAGAAAGTTGACCTTCAGGAATAAGAGGAATGGTCAAAGGTTAAAATTGTCCTCTCCCAGTCTCAGTCAATTACCTAGTTCCTTGATGGCTGACTGTATCTTTTGTTCCACAGCCGAGTCTAAGGAACACTGAGCATCCCCTTGGATCATCAGCTGGAGGAGGGGGATGAGCATGAGAAGGAAGTGAGACGCGGGCTTCATCCTGTGGAAAGGCGGTGTCCTGGGCCTGGGAGAAAAGATAGGAAGCAGCTGAGCTGTCTGAGCTCCACAGTGGAAGGGAGGTAAGGAAGAAAGGGAAGAAGTGCAAAGAATTGGGAAAGTAAAGGTTGAAGACAAGCAATGCCAATGAGGGGACCTGAGTCTCTTTGAATGAGTTTGGAGCAGCAGGCACAATGGATACAGAGCAGAGCCACTTACCAAAATGTTCAGACAAGACCTGCAAGCAATGATCAGGAAAAGGTGTTTTATACCCCATGGTACTGACCTAGAAGCACCCATTCAGTGCAAATATATACACACATGCACACCCCATTCACAAACAACTGGGGTGTGTCACAGGTGTGGTAACTTTGTAATGTGCCAGTGGCAAGCAGCACCTAATTTTTCTTTGGTTCTTTACAAAGAGGAATCTTTCTTATTTTTCTGTTCTTCCTTCTTCCTTCTTTTTAGCAGCCTGATAAGATTAGCACCTGCACCTGCTGTGGACTGTTCTGTACTCTGGCCCTCCTGTTTGATCTTCCACCAGGAAGAGGTTCCTCTGTGATCTGCTAAGTGAAGGCCACTAGTAGTCATCTGTTGAGACATGATTTTAGAGTCCGTGGTTAATCCCATCTGTGGGAAGGTAACCAAATCTAATTAACAAAGACTTTTAAAAAAGTGTTTCCTTAACCGGAAGCCACTTAGTGCATGATTCTAGCTGTTTGGGAGGGAGAGCAGGGTCATTACTAGTCCAACCTTTTCCTCCTTGGTCCATCAGCCTCTGATCATTGGCTTTTCATTTTTGGCGTTTTGTTGTTCAGTGCTGCAGGCATCGCATCCATGGTCCAGCCCCTCATCAGAGGTGGAGGGTTGGGACAAGGGATCTTTGACTTTTCATTTGGGAACCAAGATGTTCTCTAGAGGCTCAAGCGAAATTTCCATTATATTTTATGGTTACAGTCTGGTTCACTCGATCTCCCATTCCACCACCTGTGCCTGGAAGAGAAGCAGGGTTCCACAATCCCTCACCCAAGCTCGTGTGTCCAGATGTGTTTCAGAACTCAGGCTTTCCCCCCTCAGTTTGTAGAGGATGATACAGATTCTGCATATTAGGTGATACCTCCAAGAAGATCTGGTCCACAAACATCCTATAATCAAATACATTCAAATGTTTGCTACAATGAGCTAGCGAGCCTACCCAGCATCCATGAACCATACATATATCACCCCTCATCTGTCCTTCTTAAAAAATCATTTTGAGAAAGGAGGTCTCATCTCAGCTGGGGTCAGTTTCTCCGGATGGTGGGAGAAATTAGTCCCTGCACTGTAGCAGTGTTCTATGATCACTCCAAATCAACAGACATTGCTAGTGACTAGGGAACCCCACTGGAAACTCAAGTAAAGGAATAGGAGGGGGGGTGGGCAGCATACTTTTCTCAGAGAAAGTGATTACACTTCTGTTGCTGGTTAAACCAGTTGGGGCAACCTACCATTAGGAAAAATGCTTAACATTATTGATAGAGCCCTCAAGGGGAGAATGTGCCTGATAACAAGTTCTTAATTGGACACTTTTAAACTAGCTTCTATCCAGATCTTGGAGACCCAAGCCATGGGTTATAGACAGCTGTGAATTTAGTGTCTACCTTTTTGAGATACAGAACACCCTTCACAAGCTATACCAGGAAGATCTGATTTGGAAACCCCTCTAAGCATACTAGACTTTACATGGAGCAGATTTAAGAAACTGAAATACTCCCTTGGACTTAAGACAGAAATGGCCAAGCGAGAGAAGAAGCAGATGCCCACTATCCCAAGGCGGTTGTTGGACTTTGGTCCGGATCTCTTCCTTTAAGGATGCCCAATGTAGAGTGGCACAAGACTACCAAATATTCACTACTTTAAAGCTCCCTTTCTTTTCTTATGACATTTTATTCTACCATGCATGGCCCTGCCTTTGTGAATGAGTGTTATTAAGATTTTGTGCCGTCCCCAGCCCTCGCTATTTATGTAAGTTGTGTCCAGTGACTTAAGCTTTTAATCTGTACAAGTCAACAATTTACATATTGTGGTCTAAAAATGCTGGCCTGTACATGTATAATTTCCTTTTCTCAACAGCATTCTAAATTCTATACCAACCACTGGTTAAACTAATGATACTATCACTAGATTGTTTAATAAATTTTTAAAATGGAAACTAGAGAAGACAAAGTCAAATATTATAATAAAATGTGAAAGGCCTAGAGTTAGAAAACCCAAAGGGAGTCATCTGCTTAGGATATCTTAAACTGGAAACCCAAGAATTATTTAAGCCTTGAGTTGCAGTATTGAAATATTCGATGGGCAAAATATTGAGTGATGCAGGAAGCATCCAAAGAAGATGGAAATAATACACAGTTACTATGCCAAAATAACTGGCCATTTCATGAAGTAGCATATGAGCAAAAGCCAATTGTGCTGAAGCATTATCAACCATTTCATGAAGTAGATATGAGCAAAAGCCAATGGTGCTGAAGGAAGAAGTTTCAAGCTTCACTGAAAGCATTAGCCAAAAAGCAAAACTTGAGAAATTTATGAAATATCAATTGAAGTGTCCCACAAGGCTGATGAAGCACAGGAGGCACTTATTTGTCTAGGCCAGGAAATTTGGAAGACTTTGGAAGATTTTGACAACTGACTGGAAGAGATCCATATTTGTACTCATTCCAAATAAAGGTGACACAACAGAATGATCAGACTATAGAACAACATCATTGACATTACATGCAACCGAAATTTTGCTTCAGATCATCCAACAATGGGTAGAGCAGTACATTGACAAGGAGCTGCCAGAGATTAATGTTCGACTCCAAAGAGGACATGGAACAAGGAATATCACAGTTGATGTCAGAGGGATCTTGGTTGAAGCACAGAATACTAGAAAGATATTTCCTTGTGTTTCATTGACTAAGGCAAATGATTTTATGGATCATAACAAACTGTGGATGCCTTGAGAGGAATGGAGATTCCAGAACATTTCATTGTGCTCTGTTGAAACTTGTACATGGATCAAGAGGCAATTGTGTGAACAGAGCAAGGAAATACTGCGTGGTTTTAAATCAGGAAAGGCATGTGTCACCATTGCATCCTTTCAGCCTACTTATTCAATTGGTCTGATGAGCAAATCATCAGAAAATCTGAATTATATGAAGAAGAATGTGGTATCAGGATTAGAAAAAGGCTTATCAACAACTTGCTTAATATGCAGACAACTTAACCTTGCCTGTGGAAAGTGAAGAGAACTTGAAGCTCTTGCAGATGAAGATCAAGGATTGTCTTAAGTATGGATTTCAACTCAATGTAAAGAAGACCCAAATCCTCACAACTGGACCAATAGGTAACATCGTGATAAACAGAGAAAAGATTGAAGTTATCAAGGATTTTATCTTCCTTGGATCCACAATCAATGTTATGGGAGGAGCAATCAAGAGGTCAAAAGATGTATTGCAATGGGCAAATTTGTTGCACAAGATCTCTTTGAAGTATTGAAAAGCAGGGGGTTTCTTTGAGGACTAAGATGTGTCTGACCCAAACAATGGTATTTTGAATCGCCTCATATATATGTGAAAGTTGGACATTGAATAAAGAAGACCAAAGAAGAGTTGATGCATTTGAATTGTAGAGTTGGTGAAGAATATTGAAACTATCATAAACTGGCAAAAGGACAAATTGATCTCTCTTGGAGGACGTACAGCCAGAGTACTTCTGGGAAGCAAGGATGGCAAGACGTTGTCTTGCTTACTTTGGTTCTGTTGTCATGAGAAACCAGTTCCTGGAGAAGGACATCATGCTTGGTAAAGGAGAGGGACAGTGAAAAAGTGGAAGGCTCTCAACAAGAAAGATTGACATCGTTTCTGCAAGAAGGGGCTCAAGAATAGGGACAATTGTTAGACAGTGAAAGATTGGACAGTGTTTCATCCTGTTGTGCATAAGGTCACTATTGGTCAGAACCAACTCGCTGGCACCTACCAACAAGCCCTATGGGAATGATTGATAATGTTCTCCAATAAAATGTCATGCTGCATCTAAAATGAGCGGGGGACATAGATAAACCATAGATGCATAGACTTTGAGCTCACATTTAATCCTACTGAAGAACAATTAGTTCTTATGACATGGCCCTGCTTGATAGCTGCCCTCAGGCATAGATCACTGAAGATATGGATGCTATAGCAAAGTGTGGTGAAGAAATTATATGGTGCCTGGCTCTCAGAAAGAATGGTGCCTGGGGTATTAAATGATTGTCTCAAAAGAAGCAGCCATCTAAGTGAGGCATTAACTAAGTCCACATGGAAGAAAGACACCAGCCTGTATTAGCAAATGATTGAACTATATGTGACCTCCTCCCTGGGGGACGGACAACCAAAAAGTGGGTGAAGGGAGACGTCAGACAGGGCAAGATATGAGAAAAATAACAATTTATAAATTATCAAGGGCTCATGAGGGAGGGGGGGAGTGGGGAGGGAGGGGAAAATGAGGACCTAATGCTGGGGGTTTAAGTGGAGAGGAAATGTTTTGAGAATGATGAGGGCAATGAATGTACAAATGCGCTTTACACAATTGATGTGTGTATGGATTGTGATGAGTTGTATGAGCCCCTAATAAAATGATAAAAAATAATAACATCCAAATCCAGAGGAAGCAACAATATCAGAGCCTAAATTTTGAGCATTCAGTTTGCAGAAGGTCATGAATAACAGCAGAAGCCCAAAATTTATTTGCAAGGTCCCAATGATGAGATTATATGTCTCTGACTATAGTCCTGAGTTGTGAAAACCCTTGCTACCACATAGAGAGCATTGTAGTACCAATTATGGCAGACCCAGCTAGGTTCAAATGTAACACCTTATAATTTGATCTCCCTTTTAACCATTTTAAATTTGTTCCAATTTTAACAGTCTTTATTATATTATGCCTTTAAAGTTATTATTATTATTATTTTAAATAACTTTATTGGGGGCTCTTAC